ACCCTTAATCAGGTAGCGTCAGCCAAAACAATTATTTTCTGCAACTTTTCGGCTCGAAAACATGGAATCCAAAAATTCCAACCCGTCAACTCGGGTCAACAGTCCTATCAGTAATGGTGTGGAGTCAAGCAACCATATTCTAGGAAAAAAAATGCGTGTATCTTACAACTTAAGTTCATTTGGTATTTATAAGAATGTCTTATTGACCAAGTCGGGCTTAGAATTTTGGTAAGAGTAAGGCGACACACCCCGAACATAGCCAGACTAATTTAATCAACTCGTAATTAAATTCAACTTTCAATTTTAGTGTTGGATTTTATAGATCACATGTTTACAATGTTGTTTTAATCAATGTTAACGCCTTATCTCATTCACCAATCCGAGATAGTCCAACTATTTGTTCGGATAAATCTTCACAACTATTAGATAGAGTTGGATTTTTATTTGAATTTCAGTCTCATAATATCTCTTTTTGAGTGTACTTCATTAGGCTCTGTCCGTCACATACTTCCTTGCTCGAAAATGCTAATCCACCTTGTTGCCACTTTCAATTGATTTCTGTTATGGTCTAGTCTTATTAAATCTGCTCGGTGTACTAAACCTATTCAGCCAAGCTACAGTCTGTTCAGTCGGTTGAGGCTTGAACTCTTTGGTTGAGGCACTGTCATATCAAACAACTTTTTGTTAACACGTGTCACTTGTGACGAGCTCCAATTTAATTTGGTGAGACTCACTAAACCAAATAAGTTCAAAGTCAACTAAAAGACAGTCAAGTCCAATTCATGAATTCGACTCAATCTAAGGTCCAAAGAGTTCAAAAAGAATTAGAGCACATGGAGAAAAATTATCGAGATACTCATTTTTGAAGATCAAAACAACATTTTATGACACATTCCTTTTGTAGCCACCCATAAAATTAGTACATTTGCACTCCAATTACCGCCTTAAGCGGTAGAAATCTATATATCTTTTTTATATTGTTCTCTTATTTATTACGTTTTTTTCATTATACTTTTAACTATTACTTTTTCTATTCCTAAATATCTGTCTTTTTACACAATTTTTTTTGTTGCATAATATCTGTCGTTTAATGAAATCAAAACATAATTAATATTTTTTTTCCAAATTTACCCTTAACATTTCAATGTATTAGATTAAGTGGAGGTTAAGTATCTTTCATATTCCTTTCCTTCCCAATACGTATTGAATAAGAATATTTTAGTTTTGTGTAATTATTTTTTACTCATATTAGAGTTATTTAATATTTTCCTTAATTCCTGTATAAAAATTTTAAACGACAGATATTTAAAAACGGAAAGAGTAATATAAATTTCAGTTATGGGTCTTACAATATCTTCTCAACAATCATGTTTTATGATATTACATTGCGATTTTTTTTTGGGGGCGGGCTTGGGTAGTGTAGGCCCGAGCCCATACTAGGGCGAGTGGCGGGCCGGGTCGGCTTCGGGTAGGGATAAACTGCCCGCAGCCCAGCCAGTCACCTATTGGGCAAGCTTTTTGGGCGGGCTTTTGTTGGGCCTATTGGGCAGGTTTTGTTGGGCGGGCGGGTGTTTGGCCCCTATTGAAAAAATATACAATTTTATTTAATTTTTTTGTAAATTATATTTTTGAATTAAAAGTATAGTCAAAGTCAAAATTGACAAAAATTAAATAGTGAATAATTTTATTTATGAATAGAAGATAAATTGCATCACTATAGAATGAATACATCTCAACTAAGTTGACACCTACCCACCTATCTAACATTTGCACAATTCTACCCATTTAAAGACTTTTGTAATTAAGGGTCAATTAACATACAAAAATCAGTAAGTATAAGAAGTGGTGAAAAATATTTATTAAATTTAGATTGCATATTATATAAAATAATAAAAAATTCAGGTTCATTACTATATTGTTCAAAAAAATTACCGATACTAATTATATGAATATAGACAAGTGTAATAGTTAGATAATAATTACCAAATAAAGTCATAATTGACACATAAAAAACTTTCAAAAAATCTTCATTTTATCAGTGACATCTCATTCCTTTTCGGTGGGACGCGATAATGAACCAGTGGTATTTATACTAACATAGTCATTTAAGACAACTTTATATTTAACTGTCACACCTAACATTTTATAGGTGGAGTTCCACATATGTTGTATATCATATGATATTTTTTTATATTTTAAATTATTATTTTTACACAGTTCCAAATGTTCTAAATCTATTTTAAGAACCTATTATATGATTAAATAATATGTTTAATTTTATCAATTACAAATCTAATTTTATAGAGATCACTCTGTACTATGAGATTTATGATATGACACATACATCTCATATAAAAAAAGTACCTCACATGGTAAAGTTAAATAACATTTTAAATAACTTACGGTCTCACTATTATTTGTTGCATTATTTAAAGTAATAATAAAAATCTTATCTTGAATACGATAAATTTGTAACTGATTATAAATAACTTCAAAAATAATTTGTGCACTATGATTATCTTCGATCCTTGTAAAAGTAATAATTTTTTTTGCATAACTCAATTATCATCAATAAAATGAGCAGTTATACATAAATATCTTAATTGTTGGCAAGAAGTTCAAATATCAGAAGTCAAATAAAATTTTCTTTTAAGCTATGAAGCACGAATACGGATACGAAATACGGATATGATACGAAATGGGTACGGGGATACGACAAAACTAAAAAAATCAGGATACGAGTACGGTTAGAATACGTCCATAAAATATATATTTTTTAAAATTTTATTATTATATTTAATGTAATAATTATGATTTATAAAGTGAATCACACATCTACCAAAAATATATAATAACAACTAACCATTCTATCATTTATAAATCATAAATTTTATATCACATACATATTACATAATATCAAGTTCATACTTAAACTATACATACATATTACATAATATCAAGTCAATTCTTAAACAAAAGAAACCCAAAATTTTCGCCGATCAGGAGAGAGAGACGATTGTTTGTCGTCGGCCGAAGGGGGTGGTGGACTGTCGGGCTGTGGAAGAAAGGCCGAAGGGGGTGGGGGCTGACGGGCGTGGAAGAAAAGAAAATATGAGTTGAAAAGCATCACGATGTGTTTGGGTTTAGGACCTTTAGGTTAATATACTTTTTTTTGCAAATAAGGGCTAAAAAGTTTTGCTCTTGTGTCCCTATACTTTTTTAAAATTTGAGTAATATCCCACTATATCCTTATGTGTATCTCACTCGTATCCAAAACGTATTCGACCGTATCCAAAAGTAAAATTTATTTTTTTAATTTTTGGATACTTCTCAGACGTATCTGGTACGTATCTGAAGCGTATCCGTATTCAAAAGTATCCGATATAGATACTTTGACCGTTTTGAAACATCCGTGTTTCATAACTTTTAAGATTATCAAAATAAGTAATTAAATTATTTTTTTCTTGTACATAATATTTAATAACATCTCTCTAACATGTTTGAAAATTTTTTGAATGGAGACTCTCATTCAAAGTTTTGAAAAATTTGAACTTAACTCTTACCAACCAAAATTAAAATCTCATTTACCACCTACCATTCATTCAAGTTTCCAATTCTTTTTTTTTTTTGAACAAAAGTCTCCACCTTTTATTATAAACATATATGTTTGATCAAAAAAAAAAAATACATATATGGACGGGTATGAGCTTCTGGTATGTGGACGGGTTATTGAGTCGGATATTAGATTACTCGTAAACCCATTATGAGCTTCAAGTAATGGATTTTGGGTCGGATTTTAGATTCGGGCTCGATCGGACTAATTATCGGACCTATTTTTTGGATCGGATAACAGAATCTGTGAATAATTTGGCCCATAGACACCCCTAGGCATAGGGTTTCCTATAATTAATTGGGAAGTAAAACAGTATTCCCACCAGTCATAGCTTTGAATTAGGCTGTCACGCGGTTGGTTGGTTTACTAATTTCTTGGTCATGACTTAGCTGTCTGTCCACACTCCACATGGTTTTGGTGGGGCATTGGTCAGATTATTCTGCTCTGCGTCTTTTTGTATTCATAGGCAGATAGGCTTGTGGCTGCCACTATTCCCTGCGTACGTTACGCAAACAAGTCCCTTATCTTTTGCTTTATTACGTTTGTGGCCCTATATTTGAGCTTATTTATAATCCTGTTTCAATTTTGTTTTGGGAGTATCTCTATTCAGTAAATGTAACTTTGCATAATCACGTATCAATAGAGAATAATAATAAGCTCCCACCTACTTCCTCAAAAGTTAAGCCTTTTTGGAGGTAATACAAATTTATGTAATTAAGCCCTGGTAATTATATCTAGGGGTTCGACAAGTTTGAAAATTTTTATCCTAACCCTCCATCTCTCGTTTGATTCCTCACTAAGTACTAAGATTACTTTGTGAAATATTTTTTAACCAGTAATTATCAGCGCTTAAAGTCATTATATTACTCGTAAAAAATTACAAATATTTGTTTATAAATAAAGACAATGTATAATTCAATTTCAACAATACAAGTTTATATTATTTAACCTGTATACAGAACATATATAATCAAATCTTTATATAATGATAGTCACGCTATAACTACTACAATATATTAATTAAAATATATGAGAATATGTAATTATTATTGATTAAACATCCACAATTTTAATATTTTTAATAAATTTTATCTCAAATTTAAAAAAAATATAATTATTTATTTTTTTGTAAATTTTTACTTAAAGTTCATAACATTTATAATTTCTCTGTTATTAAATTAACAATAAACCCCATTATTAGTTAAGATTCATGGTTAAATGACTAAGTTAAATACAAATAACATTTTCTTTATATTTTTGGATGCATTTTCTTCATTTAAAAGATAGGTAAAAGCATATGAACCCTAAATTTATATTCGGATATAGAGAGAGAGAAAGAGCGGCGGCGGTGGGGGCCGGGGGTGGAATCACACTTGACTTTATAAAAATAAATTTCCATTAGAGACTTTCTCAAAACCAATACATCTAAAACTCAAAAGAGCCGTAAAATCTCAAGTTTCTTTTGTCATCAGGCAATAGAATAAAGAATGAAATCAGTAGTATCGACGGCCATGACCTTTTTGGACCCAAAACCACCAACCCTACCGGAGACGTCACCGGCGGCTTTGCCACCAAAGAAGCCGCCATGTGGGCCGTCCTGCTGCTGGTGGTTGTCATCGTGGTTAGCCGGAGGGTGGTAGTACAACCGTGCCGTTTGAGGACAGTGAGAATGAAATCTTGCTGCAATTCTCACCCCAACATCCAAAATTTCCAGATACTTCCCCATCTCTCTCTCTCTCTAAATGCAGCTTTTCTTTTTCTTAGAGGAGAGAGAAAAGAAAAGAAGGGAGAGGAAAAGAGAAAGTGAGAGAAAACTGAAAATTTTAGAAGACGTCAAAGTTGTAAGAGCCCATGAAAGGGGGAACTTTGCTTGTGAGGAACAATGAGGCATTTGTATGCTATTTATATTGCTACGGGTCTGCCTTGGCGTGCTCTTTCCGAGACCACTCCTTTTCACATTAGACATATTTATTCATTCTAGTAGTGAAAAGATTAAAAAACTATTTGCAACTGCTACCCAACTAGTTTCGAAAAATAATATATAACCCCCACCAACTTCTACTAGAAGGTCAGAACATCAATCCATGTCAAAGGAAGAGTTCATATCTAATGGGCCCCTCTCTTCGAGCGATGTGTTATATTGTAGTCTTCTTTCTCTCCATTCATTTGAGAAATTTCCGATGTGTGTATATATATATATATATATATCTATCTAATAAAACACATAACAATTTAAATTTTTATTCCTTTCGTATTTTTTCCCCTAAAAAATTATATCACTCATTTCTATCACATGTTCAATTATTTAATATTTAATTAATTTATAATTTAACATAATTTTTATTTCAAATATTATCCATATACAAAAATATACATATGTTAAAAAAATTTAATATAGTGGGATCAATTTTTTGGGCTTTCAAATTTTATATTTTATCGTACATTCAGACACATGTTATGACTAGTATATATAATAATTCAGTTAGCAAGTTGAATTTTTATCCCCTATAAATTCTCTCCAAAAAAGTCACATCACCAATTATATCACATGCTCAATCATTTAATTTGTAATTTAACAAAACTTTTATTTCATATATTATCTATAACGATAGTGTACACAGGTTAAAATTTTTTTGTCCAATTATGCATTTTGATAAAATTTTGATGCTATTTTTAAGAAAATAATAGTTAGAAATTAATTTTAAATGATAAAAGCAAAGAAATTAATTTTAAATTTAGTATAGTGGGATCAATTTTTTGAATTCTAGAATCTTATGTTTCACCGTGTTTTCAGGTGGGGGTTATGACTAGTATATATATATATATATATATATATATATATATATATATATATATGGTTAATCTCAACTTGCACTTCAAAAGATTACTCGACTTTCAATTTATACCCTCAAAGTTTAAAAATATTAATTTGCACACTGAAAGATATAAATTCGTTTAAATGTGCACCTGAAGCTAATTGTCATCCATTTTGTCGTTAAAATGTTTGAGTTAATTATAAATTATTCCCTCAAAGTTTAAATATTTTACATTTACGATCTAAAAAGAATTACATACATTAATGCTGGTTAAATAGCTCTCAATTGTGTCATGTCGTGTATAATGTTAAATAAAAAATAGCTATTTAATGAACATTGTAGGCAAACAATAAGTATTTTTTTTAAGTAATATTATATGAATTGTCGTAAATATGAAATATACGACACAATGCAATTGACTCGAAAAAAAAATATTTTTTGTGTCAAAAATAATTTTTTATTATCTGGAACACGACACAAAAATAATTCGATATGACACAAATAACATGACACAAAAATAATACGATATAACAAATTAAGAGGTACTTAATGAGTATTAATTGATGAAATTATTTTTGGATTATAAATTTAAAATATTTAAATTTGAAG